TTAACCTCCTGAGACCCCGCGTCCTCATATGAGGACATTACATTTTTGCTGTTCTGCCCCATGATACTTAATTTGTAAGAATTTTGACCAATTGTCCTCATCTGGGGGCCTTGCCTGCACCACCTAGTGGTCTCATAATGAAATTACACTCATTTGAAAAAAAACAGCATGGCGGGAATGACGGCGAAAATCTTCTACGGCAGCTCCCGACAGAAACATGGACAAGGTAAAAATCCTAATCGAATTTTATGATTGAAACTAGTTTATTTATGCACAATAATGTCTCTAGCTTCACATAGCATGCTTATTTGATATATTTGAGTAATATTAGCAAGCTACAACGTCTGTAAACATGACGTACTTATTTGAGGACATCAGGTCTAGCTTCAGTGCAAAAACGTAAAATTTTTCCAAGAGCATTTGTGTTTACTTGTAGTCAAAATGTCTAATTTCTAGTCAAAATAAGTTTTATTACACTTAAAATAGGCTCATCCTCCAAAAAGACAATCACCACTTGTTTCAAGCGAACTTTCACTAAAAAATAAGTAGAATAATTTGCCAGTGGAGCAAGTTTTTATTTCCTATTACAAGGAAATAGATTGTGCATTTTTATCATTACAGGGAGAATGTCCTTTTCGAGAACTGAACGATTGCTAAAAGCAATCGAAAATGACTCTGAGATTGAAGATTTGTCAGGTGGTGAAGAGGATGAAATCGCTCCATGTGAAGCAACTCTGGAGCAACCTGATAATTCTGATTCTGATTATCAACCTGATTCTGCTGACATAAGTGAAGATACTGACAGCGATGCGAGTGAGCCACAACATAAACAGCATCTTGAGAATGATGGTGAGACATAACCTAATTCCCATGTTTTTGCTCTGTAGCACTTTATTTCGTTCAAAATGTTGAGTATTTTGCAAATAAAATGTATTGTATTTTTATTATAAGAACCTGACCAGGATGTGCAAGGTCGCAGGCCAGGACCAAGAAATGTAAATAGAGAGTACTGGAATCTGCTCCATTCAACCCTGTCTTAGTCCCATTTTCAAGGATCTGATGAACAACAAGACGAGAGAGCAGATATGTCGCCGGTGCAGTACATGGAACAGTACGTTGACATAGAACTGATGAAAGTCCTTGCCGACTGTACAAATTCTATGTCATTAGCTAAAAGTGGGAGATCTCTCAACACATCGGTTGAAGAGATGTACCACTTTTTTGGAGCATCCATCTTGATGTCCTGCATCCCTTACCCACAA